GGTATAGATAAATATTAGTTTCTTAGAATAGGTAATGCAGCAATTTTAACGAAGAGATCGGACCAGGTAGGTCTCACAAAACCATTCATTAATGGTAAACCCAAGTCCGTCGCTACGTCATCACTTCGGCATGTACAGATAATACCTTAGGGGTACGTAGCGACGGCGAAGGGGTAATGTGCACGTTAGGCGTTGCCTATTTTGTGCCAACGGGTTTTAAACAACGCGAAATCAAATTTTTAGTATTCGAAATTCAACATTCAAAGATTCGATATTCAGCATTCTACATTCAACATTCAATCAAATCGACATTCAAAATTCAGCATTCATCTATCAATTCAAATCAATCAACAAGTATTCAATTATAAACCAACAATATTCAAATACAATCAAATAGTTAATAAGTGTACATAGTGTATTATATTGTACAAAATAAACAACAACTCAAAAAAAAGGTGATTTATTCATCAACAAAATCCGAAAGAATATATGGGGCAGTGAGCGAATACTGCAACCACCGACCAGCCGGCGACACTAGCATGTCAGCGTATATCACCTGAAACTCTCGCAATTAAACACATACTGGGTTTTTCACGTTTTTTATTAAAAGTCTTTAAACTTAAAGTACCACAAGAGATTTGAAAATGCGGCAAATTACAATCTAAAAGCTCTTTCTAATGAAAATATTTGCATTCGTCGGTCACTTCTGGTTATACTGGAAGTCGATATAGACTTGTGAACATTTTCGATCGACTTTGATCATACAACTCAATTGAAAATTGCATTGCAAATAGCGGATTATTCAGCTAATTTTAAAACTGCCGTCGCCATATTGGGTGATCAGCTATCTAGTACAATACCGATCTCTATTTGGAATTGTACCTACCGTTAATGTCTTAAATGTATACAGGATGCTGAAAATTTATCGTCCAAAGTATAAAACTCCGAACACGCTATTTTTTATTTATTTTAATGGAATATCCTGTATATTATTTCATTAGTGAACGTAAAACTGAATTCTGCATCGATTGATATAAGTATTCCCTATACCTGTCGATAATAGTTTTCGAGTTTTAAAGAATTTTTTGAAAAAGCCTACGTTTTTAAATGCTGTAAGATGTTTTATATTAGTTCCGACAACGTTGAGATTTCAAAATGTAGAACGAACAGAATCCTAATCTAACCAACAAGCAATTAAATCGCAGGCAACAATCTTCACAACACTGACGAGAAAAAATTATAATTCGGGCTGAAAAGCCGTGATCCAAATGAATTTTTCAGGTTCAGACGTTTCGTCGGCACTTGCGGCTGACATCTTCAGTGGTACTGCATTTTTTGTTATCATTTTGAATCTGATAATATATCAGATGGATTTTTCGCAAATCACTTGGTGAAACAAACATTTTAAAATATTAAAATAAATAAAAAACTTGATAAAGTTTCACAAATTCATTTAATTGGCGTCAACATCTACTTCGATTTTTACACATCAAGACTGGGAATACTTAAAAAAAACTTTTAGGTGTTTCATTACCACCAGCCACTAATGCTGGTGGGAGGACAGTTCCTCCGGACTACGCCGAAAGATAGGGCGGAAGGTCCTCTTCAGCCTCGTTTCAAGTTAACAGAAAAATGAATATTTAATAATAATTTAATTATATCAATAACGATATTTTAAATGTATTTTACATTCATGAAGATTGAATATTCATTTATACTATTTTTACTGTTTTTATAATGTTATTTTCGTTATAGTGATGTTTGCAAACTGCAGAATATTTTCATGGAGTCCAATGCGTGTTATTGCACTTATTCATATTTTTCGCATTTCATCATTTTTTGGGTATAAAAATACAGACTCATACTTACCACATTTTAAAGATGATTTATAATTTGAATTGCAACCGGGAACACAACGACGAGGCATTTTGTTATAATAAACAAGAGAATTACAACCAAAACACACAATCTGACCTAAAACACTTTCACTTGTTTCACATAGTAGTTAATATTGCCTTATGCAATGAAAAACTGTATCCAAAGGTATTAATCACTAAAACATACTATAAGCATCCTTATTACACGATATTTCCACTAAAATTAAAATATAGAATAACAAAAGAAACACAACAACCAATGTATTAGTTGTAAATCTCACTAACTGGGAAATCCTAGGAGTCCCACAGTATTGCCAAGTGAACCTTCAGCAGTAACTAAGACGGCTGTGATACATTAGTGTTGNGAGAAAAAGTTTTGTTGGTTCCGGGTTCGATTCTCGGCGAGGGTGTGACAGTACCAACAAAACTTTTTCTCATTAATTTGAGGTAACTGATAGTGGAAAAAAACAGAATTAATTTTCAAATAGATAATAGATACATATACTAAGTACCGGTGCAAAGTAGAAAAGAACAGCACTACGTCAGAAAAGAAAGCAGGCAACTCTTGGCCAAACTCTTAACCTGTGAGGAGCGTATAATTCGTACAATACTACACGGAAAAGTTGACCATTTTATCCACTAAAATTGCATTGCTCAAATGTGCTGTTATTGGTAGCAATTACTACTGAAAATATCAACGAGCTGTTTATTTAGATTTGAAGACATATTAAAGCCTCTAATGCTTGTTTTCGACTCGCACTACTATTCATGATTGAACTAAACTTTTGGCAGCTACTGTATGAAAAAGTATGTTTAATGAACAGGAGTCAAGAGTATAATGAGCATAGATAATAGATAATGAGCTTTTTCTACCTACCTACGATTTTGCCAGCGCGCATCCAAGACATTGGAAGGGGCACATAGCTAAAGAAAATAAATGAAGTGTAATAACAGTGCTGCTGCCGAAGATGTGTCTGCTTACGGCGTCAAATTGGGAATTCAGACTTAAGTACCGCTCACGTCATCCAAGTGGTAGTAGAAATATGTAGAAAATAACACGTAATGCATTTATTTTTCATAAATGGGAACAATATAAAATTAAATATATAAATATATGAACGTACTGTATCAGCAACAACTATACACCGAATATGTATACGTAGATAGACCAATAACATACATTTACATTACTTAATAATTATTAATTTGATTTTTCTTTCTTTACTGGAGCAAATTCCTCCAATAGAGCATCAATTTCTTCTGGAACCCGACCTTGATCGATGTCTTTGGCCCACTGTTGATACTAAAAAAGGGGAATATTAAAAAAAAATTGCAATAATGAACACGTTGTTAGTATCATTCTTCACCTATTATTATTATTAAAACAGACTTCCAAGAAGTTGATTTATCATTTTTTAGATTAGTGAATGTATAAAATTTCTAAAAACTAACCTTTTCTAATTCATTTCGGAGGGCAAATACAGCCTTCTCTCTATCAGCAACTAATTCTTCCAAATATTGGTAGCGTAGCTTTTTTCGGGCTCTACATTCTCTTGCACTTTGTCTGCTACGCTCTAAAATAAACTTTATGATTTGTTTGTAGCTTTTTTAAAAATATTACCTACACAAAATAAAGCTATTGACTTACCAAGTTTCGCTTTCACATCAACTTTGTCAGTTGATTTCCTGCCAGGCTTTCGTCCACGCTTTCCAGACTCCTTGCGTTGAGGCCCTTCCTTAAATATAAAAAGTTCAATGAATACCTAATACGTATTATACATATACATACATGTGCCCCAGACTTAAGTAAACGCATAAAACGCCATGATATTAAAGAGATTATTACGAAGGCGTAATTTGAAACTTCAACTTGTAACTCTAAATGCTTATTGAATCGCAACCAAGCGTAACGAATTCAATTCCAGCCTATGCTAAGCAATTCTAAGAAAGGAGAAGAGTACTACAACACTCATTTTGTTCGAGTTGCCTTTACTTTCTGTAACGTTTTGCTTACAACCAAACGGATGATAGCTTTAAGTTCAACTAGATTAATATTATAATTTTTGGGGGAGGTACTTCGTTCGTGTTGTCGTAGTCGTACACTTTTTTGTTTACATGGTTGATGTTCTAGTTTTAGGAAAATGCGAATATTAGCTCAGGATAGAAAAAAGTGGAAGTGAACCAACCAGTCTTGGACTGACTGACGACCTTATGATGATGATGATGTTGGTTAAATCAATCCTAATCTAACCCAAATCTAACCTAACAAGCAATTAAATCGCAGACAATAATCTTCATAACACTGACGAGATAAAATTATAATTCGAACTGAAAAGCCGTGGTCCAAATGAATTTTTCAGGTCCAGACGTTTCGTCGGCACTTGCGGCTGACATTTTCAGTGGTACTGCATTCTTTGTTATCATTTTTAATCTATAGGAAAATATAGCAAATGGATTTTTCGCAAATTGCTTGGTGAAACATTTTAAAATATTAAAATAAATCAAAACTTGATACAGTTTCACAAATTCATTTAATAGGCATCGACACCTACTTCGATTGTTACATCATCATCAAGACTGTGAATGCTTAAAAAAAACCTTTTGGATATT